CCCCGCCCCCGCCCCCGATTTTATCAATCGGGGAAAACCCGAACCCGAACCCGAACCCGATAAACACGGGTTTTCCCCATCCAAATCGGGGCGGGTTCGGGCGGGTACCCACGGGGGCGGGTTAGATTGCCATGCCTAGTTGGTAGGGACGTGATCTTTTGTTGATGGCGGTGATACTACATGTAGCTTGTATAGTCATGTTTGACCAACACTAAGGTATAAGATTATTTGGGATTATTGTACACATATATGACTTGTTTACCTTAATTTATATGTTTTACTTTTATACTCATGTTATATGTATACATGTACGGTGTGTTTCTTCCTTTAATCCTACATGTCTTAGTAATCTAATTTTTGTTGCTAGTGTTATAGTGACTTCATTTAATGTGGTGATCATGACAAACCGTTACACTTATCAACTTAATCAATATTATTTTTGATAAATAATACACGTGACATGTGTCTATTCTAAAAATCTCTCATCTTCCTCTTTCATTCACTTTATTTACTCAAGAAGACCTTAATTTAATTGTAGGTGAATATTATCATAAAATATATGTTCTGAAGTGATGAATTTTTTTACTCTTTTACACGAGTCATGCAAGATGTATAAAATAATATAAAATATATGTTATATTTCTCTTTTCGTATTTATGTTATCTATATCATCATTACCATTATCATCATCACTGTCATTATATAAAAGAAAATATTTCATAGGATAACTATTTTTAGTTTCTATTTTTACATGAATTATTTTTTCTTTTTCTTTTTTACACAATTTTCTAAAATTACCTTTTTTATATAAGTAACTTCTCATGTTTTATTATTTTTTATTTTAAAATTACAATAATTATTCATAAAATAATTATTTTTAATAAAGTGTAGTCACGAATTACTTTTTTCTCCTACTTATTATTATGAAAATATCAGGTATATTTCAATTATGGCCTCTCTTTTAAGTAAAGATCTTAAATTTTATATGGATCAAGTGGCAATTCATCGAAAAGTGAAACAACGTGGAACAATTTTTCTAGCATGTAGTTTAGTTAAGCAAGCAAAGCAACCTTGCATTAACTTGTTGAGTATAACTTCTAATAGATCCATCGTCATTGAAATAATATTTAAAAACTATAAAAAAATCTATTTAATCATAAATAACCAGAAAATATATTATTAACATTGAACAATTTTTTTCCCCTTTTAATTCTTTGACTATTATATTAGCGACGTTGAAATAAAAATAAAAGAAAGTAATAATAATAAATAAATAAATAAATAATAAGACGTCTTGTCGGGTAACCCTTTGGCAGGAAAAGCGATGATTGATTGCTTCTCTTTCCACATTTCTTGCGTACTCTTTTCTTCTTCTCATTCTACCCAAACCAAACTCAGGTAATCCATCTTCAACGATTCCCTTCTTTTCTTCTTCTCCATCTTCTTCTTCTTCTTCCTGTCCTCGATTCACGCTTCATCTAGATTCATAGTTGCTTTAATTTGACCTTTGCGTGATTTCGGTTTGACTCGGTCCTTTCTCGAGTTTCACTTTGACCCTTTGTTTCAAAATCCTCCTTGATCTTCAGTTCTAGCGTGGAATTTTCCGAATTGACAAATGGGGAGGTTGTTTGTGGTCCATCTGGAGGGGAAGGTCTATAGCTGCAAACACTGCCGAACCCATCTCGCTCTCTACGAAGACATCGTTTCCAAGGTTTCATTTTTGTTCTCTTTCCTTTTCCCACTTTTATGTCTCAACGCTTTTTTCTTCTTTTCTAACTTCGTGCTGGGTTTTTATCCCATTTATCTGTTGGATTACTTTGTGCACTAATGTGGGTTTAAATAGTCACCCTATCACCGTCGCTTGCATTTGTTTCCTTCAATAGGCTGTCCATGAAATTTTGTTAATTTTAATGATTATGACTTTTGGTTATTATTTATTTATCTTCCCTGGGTTCAATTTTAGGATTTGGTTCTTCTTTTCTCAATTGCTTGGTGGGAATGTGTGTAGGCCATAGTATGCTTGTTTCTTTAAAAGCTTTGAAATGCTTATTGATTCCTATATGGTGGATGTAGATCACTTATGGGTCTTAATTTATGACCTAATAGCTGTTAGCTAGAGCTTTTAGGAGACTTGGTCATTGATTTAGTATTACAATCTCCGTGACTAAGCAATCCACAGTTTAATCCTTAACTGAATTGCATTCTTGTGCACCAGTTCTTTTCTGTAATTGAACTTTATTGCTAAGATCCTGTAGATCATGAAGATATTCGTTCGGTCATTTTTTGTGTTCAATATTTTCCTTTATAATTTCTTAAAGTAAATGGACGGTGGTGCTTAGGGAGGTAATTTCATTGTTGGTTCAACTCTGAATAATAAATTTGCTGCTTGATTTTTGATATTTACTTTGCTAGAGAAAGAGGGAGAAAGTAGATAATTTTGTGGTTGTGTCATGTCTGTAGGCACAGAGAAAGATGGTTTCTACATAATTGGCTACCACTATTGTATAGCCGGTTCAGCATATTCCAGTGACAAATTGTGAAAACTAAAAGGCCAAGCTATTCAGTTTTTGATTCTCCATACTTCTGTCAATAAAAGATGTGCAAATAAAGTTTAAGTGACAGTTTTTGGCCTCCTAGGCTCATTACATGCAGAAGTGCTCCCACAAATAGCATTGTTGCTCCCACATAGAATTTGAATCCACTTTATTATCTTGGTTAGAGAAAACTGGTTGGTTTAAGTAGTATTTCAACTGTCCATAGTAACTGTTGTCATTGCCTTCATTTTGCATCTTCTTGTGTTGGAACTTGTTGCCTTTGGGCTTTGGCGCACTTTGTTTTATATTCACACATTTTGGTTGCACAGATTTAATCCTGTTATGAGTGTTGCGTATGGAAGTCCATTTGGATTGATTGCTAAGTTCTTCTTTATCTAGGCTACCTGACAGATCGCCAAATGGGGATCTCATCTTTCAAGGAAACTCTATGTATTGATAGTGTTTGCTGTTAAAGCTTTTTTCAAATTTAGTCCTTTTCTTTTCTTGATGCCTTTACAGTGATTTTTAATTGGAACTGAGTCACGTGACAAATCTTTATTTGCCTTTCATAAAATATATATTCTGACTAACATTTTTTGTTGTGCTGTTTTATTCAGTCTTTCCACAGCAGACATGGTAAAGCTTATCTCTTCAGTAAGGTGTAAGTTATCTTTGACCTTGGAACCTTAACATTATGTGGTTACTAAAATAAAAATAAGGTAAACATTCTCTTTTGGTATTTGTATGATTGTATATGGACTATTAGTGATATAACTTTAGTGATATAACTGGAACATAGTTGTATGCCATTTATATTGTCTAAAAATGAGACCCAAAAAATAAAAGAAATCAAATGCCACTTTATTGCTGTTATAGTCCTTGTTTTATGCATGTCCATCATGAATCAACTCATGCTGGTATTTATGACTTGGCAACATAAATCTTATATACCCCGCTGTTACATAACAAGAGCAATGCATAATTGCTCTCATTCTCGTGAACTGACATTTAGGTTTGTGGATCTTGTTGCTTGTATCCTAAGTATCATGCAGAAGAGTTATGCTTGTTTTTCATGGGTCATAGCTTCTTGCCTCTGAATGTCTAAAGCTCTGACCACGTTATGTTTTGCAGTTGGTTCTGTTCGTTGGTGTAGTTAATGTATGTTATTCTTTTACAGTGTGAATGTTTCTGCGGGAGTAAACGAGGACAGGCAGATGCTCACTGGAATGCATACTGTGGCCGACATTTTCTGTGTGGGCTGTGGATCAATTGTGGGTTGGAAATATGTAAGATTTGTAACCGTGCTTCACGTGTATGATTTTTTCTTTCTGTATATAGAATTAAGTAGTTACCATATTGGTTTCTTTCAGGAGACTGCTCATGAAAAAGGCCAGAAATACAAGGAAGGAAAATCTGTACTTGAACGGTCAGTAGAAATGTTGTGTGAGAAAACATTGTTAATGTAATGTGAAGCTATTTAGAGGATTATTAAACGAGTTTTTACATTTGGCCAGGTACAAGGTATCAGGTCCTGATGGCAACAATTATTGGGTCAGCCATGAAGCACATGTTGGTGGAAGTGATGCCGATGATGCTTAGTCATCTGCAATTGACAATTGAATTGTACATTCCTTAATCCCCCCTGTTGTTCAATGAATGTGGATTTTATTCGGGCAATTTACAACATCTGCATTTTGCCCAAAACATGATTTAAATACATTTGATTGTTAATTCTGATGTAAAAAAACTAATGTTAAAACTTCTAATTAATGCTGTTTATCTAATTGTTGTATTATCGATCTTCATTCGGTCTACCATTTGCTAAGAGTTGGCTTGTAGTGTCTCAAGCACTTATGCGTTATTTGGAAACTTATCTAAAAGTCTTATTTGAACTTGTCTAATCATATAAATGCCCAAATTAAAATTTGAAAGCGTTTGGTTAAACTTGTGAACGTGGTTCATGACATTTTTATTTCATTTTAGTCATTTAAATAAATTTTATGTTGTGATTTATTAAAATAATCTGTTCAAATTAAGTGTTTATGAGACAAACTTCCATACACAAGTGTTTAAGTAAGCATACAGTGTTTAAGAACGAAGGCTAATTAATGCCCGTCTTTACCGAAAATCGGGTGATTATCAAGGTTATGTCGGAAGATGAGTTTTATTTATTTATTTATTTTTATTTTTTTCCTTTCTTCTACGATCTTTGAGATTCTATAGGTGGGATGGGTACTTGCAATTATTCTTACCAGAGGGGTAATAATGTTGCAAGTGAATATTGTAAAGGTGTAATTTGTGTGTATCTTATGATTAAGTCTTCTCTTTTTACATGCAAAGAATATATTATACATCATTAAGGACCATTATGGAAACATCTGTCTGTCATTATTAATAATTATATAATATGTCATCTTATATTCCATATATTATTTGGTTATATTTGATACACAAATCTTCAAGCCTTGAGTACATGAAAGAAGAGGTTTAATTGTTTAAAACATATCAAACATTTTAATCAAAAATCTATAATGTGTTTAGATGAAAAATTTAAAGATGGAGAATTTATAAAGAATTTAAAATTCAAGTATTTATGAAATTTCTTAAAATAATAAAATTTTGATTTTTCAAAAAAAGTAAGAATTTAAAATTTTATATATATATTTTTTATCTTACCTATATATCTTTTATATCTCTCTCCCATCTCTTAATTACTAAACATTCACAAATATTTTTTAAATTATGAAATATCATCTAATATTAATATTTTAAAATTATTATTTAAACATTAGCTAATATTTATTTTTATAAAATTTAATCTTGAAATTTCAATGTGTGTGTATATATATATTCAGGGACGGAGCCAGGATTTCAATACTGGGGGGCCGAGAATAAATAATATATAATTTATAATAAATGAAAATTAAAGTATCAAAAGCATATAAAAAAAAATATAAAAAAAAATTAAAATTGTTGGGGGGGCCGTGGCACCCGTAGGTCCCCCCTTGGCTCCGTCCTTGTATATATTTAAAATCAATTTTATCCATGATGTAAATCAAATTATCCTATTTAAACTAATAATTTAAAATTTAAAAAATTTAAATTGATTTAACAAAACAAAACATTTAAAGAATAATAAAAATTGAAATAAAAAAAATTCAAATTTCAAGAATTTTAGATTCTTTGAATTTCTAAAGTTCCTCGTCCAAACATACCAATAATTTTTTGTTTATCACGTCTTGGATGAAAATTCAACTCTATTAATATAAGTTGTAGTCACCTTTATTGATTGAAATTTTCTTAGTGGAGTGAATTGTCAAAAATAGTTAACTGGAAATTTTATTTGAGTACAAAAACTCAAGTATTAAATCTTGATAAGGAAGATCTCATTTGAGTAAACATCTTGGATGAGAACTTGTTGGCTAAGATTTTATATTTGAAAAAATCTATACGACAGATTTTACATGGATGAGAACATGTTGACTTTTTAGATGAGAACTTATCAACCAATATTTTATATTTGAAAAAATCCATACAAGAGTTTTTACTCGGATGAGAACATATCGACTTCTTGGATGAGAACTTGTCGGTCAAAACATTATACTTGAAAAAATTCATTTGAGAATTTGTCTAAGTGAGAACATGTTGACTTCTTAGATGAGAACTTGTCGATCTAAGATATTATATTTAGGAAAATTCATTCAAGAGTTTTTACTCAGGTGAGAATATGTTGCCTTCTTAGATGATAACTTATCGACCAAAATTTTATATTGAAAAAATCCATTTGAGAGTTTTTACTCGGATAACAACATGTCGGCCTCTCGGATGAGAACTTGTTGGCTATGCTTTTATGCTTGCGAAAATCTATTTAAGAGTTTTTACTCAAATGAGAACATGTCAACTTCTTGGATAAGAATTTGTCCGCCAAGATTTTATACTTTGAAAAATTCATCTGAGAGTTTTTACTCAAATGAGAACATGTTGACTTCTTGGATGAGAGCTTGTCAACCAATATTTTATACTTGGAAAAATTCATCTAAGAGTTTTAACTTAGGTAAAAACATGTTGGCTTTTCGAATAAGAACTTGTTGGCCAAAATTGTATACTTCAGAAAATTGATCCGAGGATTTTTACTCAGATAAGAACATGTCGACTTCTTGGATGAAAACTTGTTAGCCAATATTTTATACTTCAAAAAATCCATCCAAAAGTTTTAATTTAGGTGAAAACATGCCGACTTTTCAGATAAGAACTTGTTGGCCAAAATTTTATACTTCAGAAAATTGATCTAAGTTTTTTTTTTTACTCAAATGAGAACATGTTGTCTTCTTATTGCCTATCATTCTTAAAATTCTTAACATAAGTAACCTTAGAAAAATTTTCTACGACCTTACAATGAGCGCCAAATGTACTTACCGAAAATCTAAGTGTCAAGTTTTCGTTGAAAGTTGAAAACTTTATTTTTTCTTTTCTCCTACGAGCTTCGAGATCCTTCACCTTGGGTAAAACGCGTCTATAATGACACTCCAAGTCTCTTGCTTATAGGTAAATGCTATAAAGGTGCAACCTGTGTATATCTTATAATTAATTTTTCTCCTTTTATATGTGAAAAATACGTTATACATCATTAAAAGTTATTTTGGAGATGTTTATCAATTATCATTAATAATTATATAAGAAATTAACTCATATTTTATTTATTATTTTACCGTATCCGTATCCGGTAGAATTAACACTGTGTATTTGTAATTGTAATTGAAAAGCATCAAACCACTCTTTCCTTCATTTTGTGGTTATTCTCTATTCCTTGTTATTCTTTTCAAATGGAATCTGGATAGTGGATGGATAAGGGTAAAAGCCTGGAGAATGGTAATTAGTATAAGCAAAGTTTTCCTGTGTTTTTTTCTCCTCGCGGATAATGCCATAATGGGACGTGTGTGAGTAACGAGTGCTGAATCATCCAAATTCTTATATACCATTACGTGTGCAATTAAGAGAGTCCTTCATTTTGTGGTTATTCTCTATTCCTTGTTATTCTTTTCAAATGGAATCTGGATAGTGGATGGATAAGGGGAAAAGCCTGGAGAATGGGAATTAGTATAAGCAAAGTTTTCCTGTGTTTTTTTCTCCTCGCGGATAATGCCATAATGGGACGTGTGTGAGTAACGAGTGCTGAATCATCCAAATTCTTATATACCATTACGTGTGCAATTAAGAGAGTTACTTAGACATTAATTCCATTATAAGATAAGCACCGGTTGCTTAAACAAGTAGTTGCCGCTTTTATTTTAGTATTTTTTTTTTATCCAAATTAACTTGTATCACGATACAATTTCGTAAGCAATGGTTCGTTACTGTTACTGATAGGTTATTCCCGCTAAAACTGCTCTTAATTGTTGCAAAAGTTGGCTTGACTGGTTGGCTTTCACTAACTAACTTGGCGCCTAAATTTCTCAAATCATTTATTTAATTCTGCCTAAATTTCTCACATCATTTATTTCATTCCGTACTCTTGCATGACTAAATGTATACTCCTTCCTTTAAAAAATCAACACTCTGTAGGGTTTATTTTTATTTTTTGAATTAAAAATAAAAAAGTTACCAAATGAATAAGCTAACTACACCTACAAGGATTTTTTATTTTATTTTTTTTAATTTTTAATTTGCTTTTGATTTTGATGTAGCTATTCGTATTCCTTATGCCTTATGCGAAGCGATACGAGGAAGAAGAGAATTGAAGGGAAAAGAAAAAAGGAATTGAATTGGGATGGTGGGGTTGCATGAATGATGAGTGCATAGTTGCGAAGTGAGCGTTTGAAAAAGTATGGTTGCATAGAGAAAAAGAGGACATAACGGTGATTACTCACCCAATCCATCAAGTATCAACCGTGTAACGTAGACTTTAAGTGATAGAAATTAAAAAGAGGAGAAGCCTGACGGCATCTATTTTTCTCTCCCAGTCCACCATCTTCAAACCTCTCACTCCCCAATCGAAGGTTCTGGAACCCCAACGCCCCACTCTCGCCACGCCACTTTCCTTTTTTCCGCATCTATTTCGCCGAGGGCATTTTATTTAATTTACTATTTTCTTTATTTATTTAGTATTTTTTAATTTCTATTTTTGATTTTCGGGTATGCATTCGGTTGGTGCGCGGTTGTTGAGGTTGAGGTTGAGGTTGAGGCCAAGGAGGGAACTGAGTTAGGTTCTTCTCTCGTTTCGGCCTTCTCTTCTCCGATCGATCCCTAATTGCCGTTGCGATTTCGCCAATGAATCGCAGCTTCCGAGCACCGGAATCGCCAATGCAAGCTGCGTTCAAGCAGAGGCACCAGCAATTGGGGACTCTCAGCTCCTCTCCGCGCCTCATCGACAGGGATGACGAGCTCGCCTTGTTCCTCGAAATGCGCAACCGCGAGAAGGAGCACTACGATTCTTTGCTTCGCGCCGCCGAGGAAGCCGACGCTGCAGCATTAGGTATGAGCGCCGTCGAGAGCTCTTCTTTATAACTGCAAAATGCTTGCGTTGTTTCGTCTTTCTCTTTCTCACTCGCTGTGTGTTTCGTGTTTCAGGCAATTCTCTCTTTAGCGTTCCGTCGGCGCGGAAGACCGGTGCTGATGATTTTCTCAATTCGGAAAATGATAAGAATGACTACGAATGGTATATTCTGGTTACCTTTCCGTCTTTTTTTATTTTTTATTTTATTATTTTTTTTGCTTATGCATAGCTTTTCTGTTTATCGTGATTAGTGCAGTGCAATGATGGTGTTTCAACTGTTTTTTTCTTCCTTCTTTTTGTTTGATAAGATGTTGTAGAATGTGGTTTCTCGAGAGTTTATTCTTGTGGGAAGAATTAGTTAAGCATTTTGCACTTGATATTAGCTCAAATTTGTGGAGCAATTGAGCTGCTCTATAATCCAATCCAAATCCCACACAGGATGGCGTGTGTCGAGTTTTGTTCTGAGATGCGATGGCACTGTAATAATGACACTTCCACTTTGAAGCAGTAACCGTCCTTTGCAATTCCTAATTGGAAATGGACAATTAAGTTAGATTTGTGGAAAAATAATCTAGAATGAGGTGTAAGGTAGACAGATGGGAATATAATTGCATTTTTATAGTGGATTAAGTGCCACGTTTTTATTAGGTAAATATAAATGTCCTTATTACTTGATTGTGTTTTCTGGCAGGCATTCATTAATTCATACTCTCCCTTCCCAAAAATCTGTACAAACCTTTGGTAAAATTTGATCAGAGCATCAGGAACATATTATGTGAATAACTTTGGTACTCTGGCATCTGTGGCCAGAGTGTTTGATCTTGTTCCATGACCTCATATATTAAAGAGGAAAAAATAAAATAAAATTAAGAGACATCTAATTATTTGCCTTGATATTTTGTTACAAATTTAAATTCAACAAGTGCGGATGGATGTTTCCATTATTCCTTATTGTTTCATATGTATGTGTAGGTACTAGGTAGCGCTCTTTGTCATTGACTTTTAAAACCTTTATCTTATCTCAGCAAGTTAGAATCCCAAGCTTACTCCTTAAATATGGGGGCCAGGGATATAGTGTATTATTTCCCTAAAATGTGATATGATATGTTAATAACACAAACTGTGATTCATTATATGCCAAGGGAGTATTTTGTCTACACTATATAACTTGATCTTTGACAATTGGTACAAGATGGGATTGAAAAGTAATCCTAGTTCTCAGTGGTTACATGATGACTGAATATTGTCAATACATTCATGCGACTTGGGAAAATTATGTGATAGGCACCCAGGCACTAAGCCATCCATAACTCAGGTTTTAGGATAAGATTCCTCTAAAATGAGCTTATCTGTAAAGTGTACTAGTAAGGGTATAGTGTTCTCAACCTAAGCTTTAAAAAATGATCCTGTGATATAGTTCTCTATTAGAGATTTTTCTTTTACCCACAAAGGCTACTTAACTTTTGAGAGAAAAAAAAAAAAGTAAACCTTTTTCTTAGGTTTTGGCTTCTGTTTTTAAAACTCATGTAATTATGATATATTTTTAAACATTTTCTTTAGCTTAAAAGGCACTTTAAAAAAGGAACACAAATAAACAGGCCCTAAAATTTAAAGGTGGATACACCTTTGTGCTTTACAATCAAGCTCATTTTAGACTTTAGAGTTTTTCCCCTGGTTTTAATATCATCATTATGATATTACAAAATTTCATATAGTGTCATGTTCTTTTTTCCATAACCAGAAGTTTAGAAGATAATGACTATTTTATTTATTGTAAAACTGAAGCCTGGTGGCTAGTTCCTCTTGTTCCCTGGCTTAAAAAGCCACTTTGTTAGATATCGCAGGTCCATCTGCATTCAGCAATCTGCACAAATTCATAATGCCTTGAAATTAAATTGGCAAAATATTCAACTTAACAATTAATAATTTCTATATAACACCTTTTTAATATATTTTATATTATTCTTTTCTCAATTGTAAATTATTAGTAGTACTGTATCCCTGTTGTTATTTTTGTTATTAATCTCATTCTTATTATTGATCTTCTCCTGAAATCACTGATTTTTTAACTAAGTTTTTGTTTTTGTATAAATGCTCTGGCTGTTTGAAGCATGAACTTATGAGAAATAAATTAACATTAATATCCAGACATAACATGGTATCTTAGCGACCTGAGCAGAATGATTATTGTTAAAATTGGGGCTTAGCATGTTTATTCTTTTCAGGCTTCTATCCCCACCTGGGACTCCCCTTTTTCCTTCTCTGGAGATGGAAACAACAAAAACTGTTATGAGTCGGCTTGGAGCTCCAACTGTACGTTCCACATCATTAAAAGCTAGAGTAAGCAATTTTATTGAATACTTTGGATGATGTCAATTATTTTATCATTTTATGGTAATTGGCAGTTGCTGTCTTTTGCATCTGCTTTTAATTGATTAATGAAATTGTACATTTTCTTGTCAAATCCTGGTTTTGAAGAAAGTCCTTTTGTTAGGAATATCATTATTATTCATTGTGCATGATGAACTCAAGCAGAAATAAATGGTTTTATGAATTAGTGAGAAGCATATTTTGTGAGTTATAGGTTATTGCATAATTTCAGTTACTGATTCCTGGCTACAAGTAGTTAATTTGCATACACAGCCACTTGAAGCGATGACATCCTTGGACTACAATTTCGCTGTTCATTATTTTGCATGTTTTCCCAACTTTTCACGACATGCTTTGATTTGATTAATTTATTTGTTAATAGGATCATTGCTTTAGGTATCAAGGTTATTAAAAGATCTTCTTTGTTCTTTTGCATTGTTTTATTTTGGTTTCTTTATGGCATTCCTTATTTGGCAATTTCGGTGAATGTTGGGTGTGTCCTAGTCCTGGGTCCCCAATTCTTGATTGACTTCCATGGTTTTGGTAGAAGGAAAGAGGCTAAATTTTGTGGCAATTTGCAATCTACTACAATTTGGTGTATTTGACTGGAGCAGAACTCTTATTTTTAAGAAGGATTTTTGGTACATCACTTGGTTGGGGATAACATTACGGATTTGGTGTCTATTTGCTATGAATACAGGTTCTAACATGGACATGACACAACTTTTATATTTTTAAAAGCATGCATTAACTGAAATATATCATGTTGATACCGAGAGGTTAAAGAAGTTTCTGTGGATATTATATCATTTGAATGTAGGATGGAGCCATATATAAAGTCATTTAAGAAATGTTCCATAGCATCCTGATTTCTAGTGGAATACAATTGTCTATTAGTATTAACTCCATAGTATATTTGGTATGAAACACATGGCCTTTTAAAAGGGGTTTCACTAATAGATATGTTGAGCGGTTGGGAAATTGTTAGATTTGCCCTTTTTTCTTGTTTGTTTTATGTTTTGTTCTTTTGTTTAGGAGGGTTCTTTATCCTCCTTTCTCTCTCTATATTTTTGCTTTTTAAGGTTTCACTGACTAGTTGAGCTTTTTATAGTATAAAATCATAAAAGTGATGCTTTGCATCTATTTGTTAGTTCCAAACTTCAAATTAATGCATGATTGGTGCTTTAACATATGTTTCATAATAATATGGTTTTGTTTTTCTTTCATGTTAATGGTCAGAAAATTATTTTTGTTGTATTTTTTTTCCTTGTGGTTGTAGTTGGCAAATCCTCCGTCAGAACATACTGGAAGGAGGAGCAACATGGTATCCAAACAAACCGCCTCCTCCCCTGGGTTGACCTCTTCAGGTGGTGGAATTAGGAGGCCCTCATCATCAGGGAACCTGTTAGAACTTGCTGGAAGGAGCAACTTAGTATCTAGACAACCAGCCTCCTCCCCTGGGTTGACCTCTTCAGGTGGTGGAACTAGGAGGCCCTCATCATCAGGGAATCTGGGATCAAGATCTGCAACTCCTACTGGACGACCTACATTGTCCACAGTTTCAAAATCATCTAGACCTTCAACACCTACTTCTCGGACAACCATACCTTCGACTAGGACAATGGTAGCTACCACCAAGACCTCAGTTTCCTCAGCCAAGCCGGTGGTTTCTTCATCTAAGACTGCAGTTTCTGTCAGTAAGACAACTACAGTGCCGGCAACTAAAACCACAATTCCATCTAGATCCTCTACACCTCTGTCAAGATCTACTGCAAGATCTTCAACACCAACAACCAGGCCTACCTTACCAGCATCCAGGTCTACATCAAGGTCATCAACCCCAACTCGGCGACCATCAACACCATCAAATGTACCCACTGTATCTGCTCCTTCAGTTAAGACATCTTCAATCTCCAAGTCAGCTCCTGTGATGTCAAGGCAGGCAGTACCATCATCACCTGGCCCTTCACCAACAGTAAAATCAAGGCCATGGAAGCCATCTGAGATGCCTGGCTTTTCACTTGACGCTCCACCCAATTTGAGGACAACGCTTCCAGAAAGACCACTGTCAACAACTAGGGGGAGGCCTGGAGCCCCCAGTCCACGGTCTTCGTCTGTTGATCCTGCTTTCAGTGGTAGACCAAGACGACAATCATGCTCTCCTTCTAGAGGACGTTCCTCCAATGGCATTTCTCATCCAACTGGAAGCTCTATGCCTGCCGTTAATCGTACATACTCCAAAGCGAATGAAAATGTCAGTCCTGTTGTAATGGGCACCAAAATGGTTGAGAGGATGATAAATATGCGGAAACTAGCACCACCAAGGTTGGATAACAGGAACCCTTCCCATAATCTTTCTGGCAAGTCGTCATCATCTCCAGATAGCTCTGGTTTTGGAAGATCACTCTCAAAGAAATCCTTGGATATGGCTATTAGGCATATGGTATGCATCTTCTGCACATTTTCTGCATTTGTTCTACTATTCGAGAATTAATTTTTAATGAACCTGCATCTCAAACACTACTATTGTATTAAAAACTATAACATGCTACGCTGGCTTGGTCCCTTTCTGGATGCTTATTGTTTCAAGGTTGAAATTAGAGATGCGAGAATTTCTCGTTTAGAGCCTTCATCAATAATTGAATTGATTAGAACTGTTGAAATTGTATATTTTCTTCCTAATAAATTTTTGTTTCTCTTTGAACAGGATATAAGGCGAAGGGTTCCAGGCAATATACGGCCATCGATGACAAACATTCCAGCATCTTCAATGTATAGTGTGAGGTCTGGGCCTCAGCGGAGCAGAACTGTTAGTATCTCGGGCTCTCCTCACGCCACTAGCAGTAATGCTAGTTCTGAAGTGAGTGTAAACCAAAATGGTCTTTGTTTAGATAATAGTGAAATAGATGATGATATTGTCAGTGAGAGAGGTGGTCAATCTCCTGCAAGTGTGCGGGGTAGATAAATTGCTCTCACTTTGTGGAATACTCTATCCACATTTTAATGGCACAACCATTCTTATCCCGAGTTTCAGCCATATTGGATTTTTATATGGAGCTAGCCACGCTTCAATTGATGTAAAGTTTACTGGAAGTGATATAATCTTAATGGAATGTATTTGTAATTTTAGATACCAGCTATATGCTGAAATTGTAATGCTCATTTTTTTTCTTCTTTTTCAAGTGGTGTTCTTTCACACGAAAACTGTAGAAATTGTGTGGCATTGTATTTTTGAGAAATGCTAGCAACGTGTGATTTAGAACTTCTTTTTTGCTTTTTATTTATTTATTTATTTATTTATTTATTTATTTATTATTATTATTATTATTATTATTATTATTATTATTTATTTCCAGGTGACATTTCCGGTTGTATTTTTAGTCTCAACCTGCTATTCACAAAAAAATCACCTCAGCTTCTCTCAGGAACTTACATTAATCAACCTATTTTTTTTAAAAAGTATATATTATGTGCTAAATTGAAAAATGAAAATTGACTTAATTGAGTTGATTTATTTAATATATATATATATATATATATTAATTTAATGATTATATTAATAAAATTTAATATGTACGAAGAGAGTAATTTTAGTGAAGTGTTGAACGTTGAGCATTATTTCAATGATCACGAACATCGAATTTTATATATGCATTGAACATTTATAATTAGAAATTTTATAGTTAATATTTACTTGTATTTTGGAAAAAAAATTATTATACATGAAAATGAATTTATTATAAAATACAATATAGTAGAGTTGATACACTGGATAAGAATTTTTAATTTATAGAAATTATAATGATAACAAACTTAGGATATTATACATACTTATCTAATTTCTCATTACTAAGTTGGGGTTATTCAACTCAATAAGAATTTTTTAATTAGACTATTGAATTAATACAAAATAATATGTATTTATGAAAAGTTTATGAAGAAAATTAAATTAAAATTCTTATTATATCTACAAGTTTTTATAAAATTTTAAAATATAATATATAAGTCATCCACGTTAGATAATATTTAACCGCTGATAATAAATATTATTTTAATTATATAACACAAGTCATAATTCAAAAAAATTATATAAATCAAATCAAATCAAAGTTTCTATGTATCAGAACATATTAAATAAAAAATAAATGCATAAGAAATAAGAAAAGCAAAAACTATCAAAACTCATCTCAAAGGAAAAGGTAATAAAAATATTTATTTTCCATAAAATTTAATTAAATAACATTGATTTTTTTTTTCAAATTCTTTTCATATCTATCTTCGATGTTGGACCTTTTTACTGTTGAAAAGTAAAACAATAAGGTATATAAGGTGTGGTTGAAGGAAGAAATGAAAAAAAAAAATCCAGTAAAAATAATGAACAATGAGATGAAAATAGGAAAAAAAAACATAAACATACCCATAATTAATATAGAAGAGAGCTGTTAAAAAAAATTAATATAGATGAGATTAAAAATAAACCTTTGTCGAGACTCAATCATAGAATATAAAAAAAAACATAGAAGAATAATGGTACTTTCAGGGACAAATACATGCCTATCACAGTGGGTAGTTGCCTCCACTAAAATTTTACACTTTTATTTATTTATATATATTATTTACTTTTTTATAATATATATATATATATATTATATTTTAATTTATTATAAAAAAAATTGTTAAGTAATGACATACATCTTATAAAGATATGATACATATTATTAAAAACTATTTTTGCATATACTATAAATATAATATATATGTTGATATATTATTAAAAAAAATATAAATATAGACTATGGTGACACTTTTATATGTGATTATAAGTAACATTTTTTTGCAATGATTGTTTTTATATCTAATATATTAAAATATTAATATTTCATTTATATTTTATTCTATCCTGTAATTTTTTTCACTGACTGAAAAATTTATTACTTCTTTATTTATTAAAGATGTCATAATTTAGTTTACAAATATAGGTTATTTTTTAATTTTTATTTTAGTTTTAGTTTTTGACCCTTTTAATCTTGTATATGTATATTATGTGTTAGTGG